TTCACGTATTTTTTTATGATTTATTTTATGCTCTTTGTAATTATTTATAAAACTATGCAAAATAAATCATGAAACTCTGCATAGAGATAAATTAGCGTTAGAATACATACTTTTAAAATATAAGTATACATGAGTATACATAAGAAAGTATATAAATATCAATTTAAAATATTTTTATTATTCCATGAGTAATGGATGCTGCATAGTATTCCTGATGATCCATAATAATGCTTTTTTAATAATCACGACCAAGTCTTGTAAAAATCTGATTAACTCATTTCTAGTGTTAGTAGAAACACAAAATTAAATGAAGCGAAATTTATTTGAATTTAATGTATTATGAAATTTATTATTAGCATTAATTAACTTTTAATCAGGTTGGTTTGTAAGATCTTTCTAGAACTCGTCTCGTTTTTCTAGAACGTCTTTCTATGTAGTACGTTTGCATAATTTCATTTACTATTTCTATAACGCAACTTGTGACATTTGTGATATTTTAACTCTAAAAGAATTCTTCGTAAATACAGAAATTTATCAATGTTTTTTGTCGATGGATTACTATATTTACATGCATTTTAAAAATATTGTGGAAAAAATGAACTATATTTAATGTACACTGCTGGCCACCGTAAATCCAACACCCTGAAGGAAACATGAAAATAACATGAAATTTACAGCATGCATTATGCATTAGCGAAGATGAGATATGCAAATGATTAGAATTTCAGCGCACACGCACATCACGCGCGCCTGTGGCGCCACTTCAAAGCGCTATTTAAGGATTGGAGTTTTCAACGATTTCATCTTCTAAGTATGAACATCTTAAAGAACTTTTAAACTATGATCCCACACTTGAATGTGCAGCCAAGCGCCCGAGAAGTATATTTCACAACAGCAGATGGTGAAACAAGTGTAAATAGAAATAGTTATAATGCATGAGCCCTGTGTTTATAATGGACTTGTGGATTCAAGCCACTGAATTAAATGGACTTGTGGATTCAAGCCACTGACAAGCTCGGCAAATCGTCTCTTTTAAATATTATGTAGTGAATTCTGGCAGAGACTTTATTTAACATGGACTTGTGGATTCAAGCCTAAGCTCTCAAGAATTTACTCTGTGTTTAAATAATGTGTTGTTTCCACTACTCGCTGTCGTGCTATGTGCAAGTGTGAACTCAATTTCAAGATTTAGTGTGTGAACTGTAAATAGTGTAAATATTACTGAATTATAATTTGACATGACTTCACACCAATACTTCACTGAGATGTGAAATTCAAACTCTCACTAGTATGCTGATAGTGTTTCTAAAATTGCTGTAATTCCCATACCTGCCAACCTCTAAAGATAAAAATTCAGAAGATTTCTCCCCCAAATTCAGAAGATTTCTCCAAAATTCAGAAGAACACGAAGAATTAACATCATGCTTTGATATTAAAAAAATAACAATTTATACAAATAGAAAAAAGAAAATTGTACTTTCATTAGTAAATCTCAATTAAGTAGTAACTAAATAATTTATTAGGAAACATAAAACAAGAACTTAATGTTACACAAAAAAAAAATTATTGCAATGAATTTAGAGTGCATTTTTTGGCTTTAGCCAAAAATTCTTTGGAAAATTTCCTGTCATAACAATTAGTTTCCTCATAACATTTAGCAATTAAAATGTTTTCTAGAGTTTTTGGTGAAATTGAAGAACGAACGAAACATAGTTTGTTTTTCTTCACAACACTGAAGACTCTCTCGCACTCAGCATTACTGTGTGGAATTACAGCTGCAGCTTTTTCTGCTGCCAAATTAATTAAGTGGCATGGACATCCAATAACAATTAATTCATTTTGTTATTTTTGAGGAAGAGGCTACACCCTTTTGTCACCACCATGACATGAGCATTATCTGCACCAAATGAAATGCAGTTTGATATTGGGATGTTAAGTTGTTTCAACTCATTAATTACCAAGGAGGCAATATTTTCCCCCGTAGCGCCTCCATTTAACAATGGAAGACGCAAAAGATGAGTTTTCATTTCATTAGAAACATCACAGAAATATGTGAACGATGGGGTAAAGCTTCCAATCGCTGTCGTTGCTGCCATCGATTGACACCGAAAATGCTGAATTCTGGAGTGCAGCTATCGTTTTACTTTGTGCATCGCAAGCAATTTTGTTCACAATAGAAGATGTTTTCGTGCGAGCACAAGCATATTTCTGAGCAATCTTGGAGTCGGAAAACATCCGTCTGAAAAGTTGACCGGCGTGATCGGCAGCGCTTAGCGGCACGTTGTGTTCGATGAGGAATGCAGCAAACAAACTCTGCCAAAATGACATCGGCATCCGAATTCGTAGCCGAATTTGAAAAAAAATCATCCACTTTCTTTGACGTTGTCGAAGCCGAAGCATTAACTCCATGCTTTTTAGACTTAACATGCTTCACAATGTCGCTTCTTCCACCGTGACTTATTATGAAGTCACCACACGCACACGTTGCAATATGCATAGTTATTTCCTTTATGGGATTCTTTAATTGTTGGAAATTCGGCTTTGTAGGCAGGCCGAAAATATTAAGAATACGGTTTTTTTTAACTCATTTCGTAACAACGACATATTAAGAAAATTCGTAGCACGTGCAAACAAAAAACAAAACTTAATGAAACAATCCACGCCCGCTGAGTCCGAGCTGAGTAATTCCCTTGCTGCTGAAGCGAACGCGAAAAAAATAATCTGGCGTCCACAAAGAAAAGAGTGGGAAAGAAACAAGTTCAGCGCTTTGGATTGGCTAGTTAAGCGGCGAGTTGGGAGAAACCGCAGGTTACTGGATTCGAAGTAGTCGGTAGTTGGCGGTTTTTTTAAAAACACGATGCAATTGGCGAAAATCGCTGTGATCTGATGAATGGCGAAAAAAAATTCTAAAATTTCGACAAAAATCACTAAAAAACACTTGAAAAAGGAAAAAAAATCGTAAAAAATGGATTACGATCGTAAAATCGTAAAGACAAACGCATTTTCGTAAAAATTACGAAAAATTCGTAAAAGTTGGCAGGTATGAATTCCTCATTTATTGGCCACTATATTGACCTTAAGGGAAAAAAGTGTTAAAAGTATGTTAGGTAACTTGTTTCGAAAGCTTGTATTAGTTTACCACTATTTCATTGACTCTGATGAATGTTTAGGGGCCTAGCCCATGCCATTTAATTTTTGTAATAATGTCCCAACTCGAACAGCTCCAGATGCTTGTCATTACATGCAGTATGCATTTGATAAGTTTCGCCTTTATTTGGCGCGGCGTAACCGCCTTATTAAAACTAGTATTTCAACACCTAAGGGCAATGCTTCAAAAGAGGCAGTTAAAGTAGCCAGCTCTACTAAATGCTGCCTACTCACCACAAATGACAATGATGATTTCAAGTTACTTGTCGCACTAAAGTTGTCTCTCGTATACGTTCGGTAGCTGCTCCAGTAACTTAGGCGGGTAGTGAATATTTGCTCTCAATACCTCAGTTACTTTCGGGTAAGCAAAAATGTCCTTTTATAGGACAGCGGATGACATTTCAGATGATGACGGCAAGGAATCGGACAGATCCAGACTTTCTACAAAATCAATGCCTCTAAAGATATCGGACTTTGTCAAATCATCTAAGAGGAAAATAAAGAAAATTGCTTCCGGAATATTCGAGAAATTACAAGGTTAATTTTCTAAACTTCAGATAAATCATTGCATGAGTCTCACAGCATGCTTTGGATTTGTTTTGAATGTACTTTTGCATAGTTGAATCCATGGCAGTGTCAAGTTGAAAACCTCAGATGTGAGAATAAACAGTTATTCAGGATCACCAGTGATCAGTGTACAGAGCCATGAAACGGTGCTAATTCAGCCCGCTATGGTTCTATATTATTGAACGGGTTATTTGCATGGGGCTGTTAATTTCCTTCAGAAAATTATTCATGAAAGCATTCCCGCAAACAACCAAAGAATCCTCAGGTTCTTTAAATCCTATGAGTGGCCAAGTAGTCAAGGCTGCTGAAAATTCGTAGTTCGACTTGGATTCGAACCCAGACGAACGGACTGACTGCATGTATGGCGTGAATACGAACTATTTTCCTTACAATTCCCTACTGGTAGGTATCCCTCACCTTAGTCAGATAGTCCTTATGTTCTTTCCGCTATTTAAATGACTTAATCTAACCTAACCTCATATTCTTTCCATTTAAATGACCTAATCTAACCTAACTATTCTCAAACCGAAACTAATTAATCTGTCAATTCTTAACAGACATTTACTGCAATAATTTCTATCTTTTTATCACTGAACAATGAGTATCACTCCCACAAAAGTAAACATGAGTTTCAGCATGGTTAGATCTAGATCTTTCAGTTATGGAAACAGATGCATAGAAAATAAAGCTTTAAGCCAAAACCACAATACCACCAGAATGCTGTCACATGGTGTTTCAAACGATAAGAGTCTAGTCTAAATTAGAAATTGCTTTTACATGCCAGAAAAAAAAAAAAAAAAAAAAAAAAAAGACCTATTATGTTAGTTTTATTCCACAAAAAGCATTTTCATTTAATCCTCTTAAATGTTTGTAAAATGACACCACAAGCTCAAGACTTATACATTGTGCGAAATGTTTCATGACAACTGGCAAGTATGTGCCCATATGATTATCAGATTTAAATCATAATTTATGCATATTTCACGCAAATTATGACTCAGTTGAATGCATACATGAATTCTGATCGAAAAATGTAATTTAATAAAAATTTCATGTATCTCATTTACATGCAAGTACTATTTGAGATGCAAACACTGTTTTATATTCAAATACTTCATAAAAATTATGATGTATAATTTGTTAACGGTTACAGTACATTTTTCCCTTGTTTCCTTTGTTTAAGCTAGAAAACAAAATTATTCAGATTTAAAAAATACATATTTATACAAATTGTGTAATTTTTCTAAAATGGAAATCATTTGTAATAACTTTCTTCTTTTTTGCAGGTCGTATATGACAATTTCTGCATTCCCAGTGGAAAAGATGCTTTTGTCAAACCAGGAACAGTTATTTCTTTATCATATGTTCCCCTTTAGTCAACAAAACTCTCCAACAATTGTACTGTAATTCCAATATACTATAAATGGTCAGAAGACTGTTGAAAATCATCATGCTGAAATTTCACCATTTCTTCATGTAAATTATTTGATTCCCATTCTACTTTTGGGGTACTCCTAGTCGTTTTGGATGTAAATATTGTTCCTGAATGTAAACTTTACTTATGAGAGGATTTATATAATTAATTAAAAAGGTGGTTTTTACAGCAGTACAGTGTTTATTCAAAGAAGAAATGGAACTTTAAAATACTTTTCAAATTTTAAATTAGATCGTAAAGCATTAATCATTCATATTTATCATATTTTTAATTATAAAAATAATAGCATTAATGGGCGATTTGGTGTTAATGATATTTCTGCCATTTAAATGTAATCACAGAATTTTATGTTCGGACACAATCTTCGCAAATTTACAATCTGTAATCATAAAACTGCAACACATGAGGCAAACAGGAGTTTCATATGCACACAGGTATATTTGAAATTACACCCGAATATGAATCTATTTATTTCCAAAGTAACAAGATTTGATTAAACGTAAATAAATCACTAATCTTTCAACTACATCTTACAATTGCAAAATCTTCCACAAGATAAACCGAGGTTCGAATCCCGCGAACAGGCCCGCTGCATGGGCGTTTTCGTGGTTTTCCTCATGTGTAACGTGTATACAAGCCAGTTTCCTTTAGAAAGTCCTCCACGAAGGCATCCATCCCCTTAGGCAGATAGCCCTAGTGTGCTTTGCAATAATTAAATACACCACTACACCACCTCCACACGAAAAAAGACTCCCCCTCCCCCCCGCAATCTCTGTTTATATGGGTAGTAAATTGAGTATCTGCTTAACAACTGATACAGGTGAATTCATTTAGAGAATACTTAGAATAAATGCTTTTGTAACTATGTATAATCTGTCACTCTCTCATCCTTTCCTTTCAATAATTTAACAATGGAACTTCAAATTCTTCCAGTATTAAGTTTTATGAATGAAAATCGAATAGTCCAGAATCTTCAAATTCCATACAATTAAGATACGCATCATTAAAGAAATTAAAGAAAGGCTTTTAGTGGAAGTGTATTATTGGTGAATTCAGAGAAACCGGAACAGAGTGAAACTGATTTAGAGAAAGCTGGTTTGCATTTTTGTGTTTATTCATGTAAATAGTTTATGCCGATCAAACATTTTCAAGAATCGGAATGTGGCTTATATAACTATAAGATTGAAACAATTACAATTGAGCAGTACACAGTACTCAGATGCAGAAAAAAAAGAGCTGAAAAATAGATGGAACTGGTATATTACTGAAGTTGACGATTTTGTTTACTAACAGAAAAATTATGTCCACACCAAAGTTCGCCAATGGAAACTGTGTCAGTTAATATGCTGGCATCATAAACTGAATTAAAACATGGATTCTAATACAGCAAAAAAATGGATTAAAGAAAAGTTTTTCAACTTTGTTTATTATTTCTTGACATGAAGCTAGCAGGAGGCATTGCATTGATATAAAAATATATAAACTCGATAGCTGCTGAAAGAATTGTTTGCTGAACTGCAGTAGACATGCAGATAAAAAAAGGTAAAACAATAATTTCTGGCAATGTAGTACTAATATGGGACTTTCTAAAATTTAAAAATGCTTTTTCCCCCAGGACTCGAATGATTCCAAACAAAAGATTAAAAAAAACCTTAAGTACTTCTTTTGTCTACCACACAAGCTCAATTCAAAACATAAAAATCTGCATAAAAAAGTACAAATTTTAAATTTTGAACAGTACTGCTAGAATGTAAAGAATTCTTAAACTACTTTATTATTTGCAGATGTCTCCCACTGCATCCATTCTTCTTAATGCATGCCAAACTTCTACTTGCCTTTAAATATAATAGGATTGGATTGGACTATTTAAGTATGGCAAAACACATGAGGGCTATCTGCCTAAAGTGAGGGATGCCTTCGTGGAGGACTTTCTACGGGAAACTGGCTTGTATACACATTACACATGGGGAAAACCACGAAAATGCCCATGCAGCCAGCCCGTTCGCGGGATTCGAACCTCGGACTGAACCACCAGTGTTCAGCGTCTTTACCGCTAGAGGGCCACACTTAAATATAATAAATTACGTGAAAATGCATTTGCACCATCAAATGTTTTTCAGCGATGAATCTGCTTGAAATATACAAGTTCAAGTCCAAAAGAACTGTTGTGTAAAATAATTTCTTTTACATGTGCTTCATTTCCTGCTGAGAACCTTCTTCTACAACTTGCATTTTGGCTACTATAGAACTACCATACCTAGAGTTCTAGAATCAATAACATCTTACGCCCATAATCTGAACTATAAGCATTTATATAATGCAGAATCTTACCTGGCTAACAGTCTGACTTTCTTCACCTATGACCGGAAGCGAGACAAAATTTTATTTAGGAGTTTGCCATGTAAAGTGAACAGATGAAGATTAAAAAAGACATAGACAAATACAACAATAGTAGTAGACAAATACAAGAATAAAAAATATGCAAAGGAAATAATGAACGTGCGAGCATGCTACAAATATGCAGGACACATTTGTAGTACACCCCCCCCCCAAAAAAAAAAAACTACATAAGATTTTTGTGCTAATTTTTATAATTCATTTCAGTTTTTCTTAACTTAAAATAACAAAAATTGCAAACTCTTTTCTACTGCACCTATCTTTAATGTTTTTTTTAACTCAGTCTTCTTATTCACACTACATTCAAATTTTACTTCTCATTCTTATTGGAGGCATTCAATAAAATTCAATAAAGTCTAATACACTTGTACAGGACAAATTTCTAAAAACTCTTTCTCTATTTTTTACAGTTTCCCTTAATTTCAATCCACTTAGCAAATAATCTGTTAAGAATTCAATTCCAAAAGAAAAAATGTTTCGTCAAAGACTTTAGGCCTTTCTTGAATGATAACCTTCAAATCATCATTGTTGCTGCAAAATTAATCATTCAGTTTCAGTTTTCAAACAAAAAAGAACTCAGTAGGCAGCAGAGCTAGTGAATGCAAAGGATGAGGCAGAAGCTCAAATCCACAGTGTAGAAGAGCAGCCTAGGAAACCTCAGCCTTGTGTGCTGGAGCATTCTCATGAACACTTTTCTGCACACATTGCCAGAGGATTTACCTTTATGACTTGTTGTAGCTGAGTCAACAGATTAGCATAACAATAACCTGTTACTGTGGTATTATGTGGCACATAATCAGTTAGCAGTGGCAACTTTTGTTCTCCTTCCCCATCAAAAACAGATATGGTGTCAAAAAGCTTGGTTTTGAATTTGTGAGGCTGGGAATGCTCACTGTATTTCTACACTAGATATTACAAATTTACTGACTTTCCCAATACTGGTAGTTTCATAAAACTGCCAATGAAAACATTTTCATGGTAATCCACAGGCATTTTTTTTTTCCCACAAAATGTAAGAACAAATAACACCAGGTGATCAAAAAGGCACTGCCATCAAATTTTCAAAAATTGTAGAAATTTAAAATGGATCTTAATAGCAAATTGTTTCAATGGATGACACCCCTATACTGTTACATGTAACAACATTTATCAGCTGAAATTTTAGTTGCAGTTCATTCTGTTAGCTTTAAAAAAACGTAATTGGCGCAAGATGGAGATGAATTTTTCTGAAGCAAAATGAATTTCTATGATTCAGATTATTTCACAATGCATTCTTACAGAAAAATTGTTGAAGCATTTAAAGTTACCTTCCCATTATTTATGAACCCCCGAAAAATGCAACGATTTTGCACTTGGTAACTTTATTTCGAAAAATATGGGAAAAAAGTGTGCTTGCCTCTTTTGAGTTCAGATAAAATTGACAAAGCCATGAATAAAATATTCCAGTCACCAACTAAGAGTCTGAGAAAAATGGCATTGCAATCTATTTTACCACATGGAAGTGCACAAATCACTTCTTGAGGTAAATGCTTTCAGTTTCTTAACATCAGGCAACCAAGCAGGAATAACTGTTTGTCTTCTTAGATTCGTGAACATTTAGGAAATTTCTTAAAACACTAACTTTTCTGTAAGCATGCATCATAAAGTAATGCTCAATTATAAATACTCTCTCAACTTTGGAAAAACTTGCATCAGTCGAATGGTTTTTAACAGCATGAACTGCACCTGAAATGTAACAAGAGATATAGTACATATAAACAGTACAGGAGTGCCATTCATAAAAACAATTTGCTATTAATATCCATTTTTGTATTTCCACAATTTTTGAAAGTTTGAAGTGCTTGACTCTCTGATCACCTGTTAGAAAAATAGGTGTCTTATTCAGGCCTTCCTAAATGTATATGAAAATTAATTTAATTCTGAAACAATATATATAGCTTATGTCTAAAAAAATTCAAAATCATTTGTGATATGTTAACACTTATTTGCATATATGTGCATAGGTCTTGTATATAAGAGTTTTATTCTCTTCACCACCAGAGCTTCATTTCTGAAATTAGAAGTGCTAGAGTCCAAGGAAATGCCATCAGAAAAGATGAATGAAAGCAAATGCATAAAATAACAATAATTAAAATTAAACGTACAGAAATAAATAAAAAGTTAATAAATTAAGGCAAATTAATGACAAATAGTTAAACAATGAAATAAAATACTGGAGCTCATCATATTTAGGGACCAATTAGAATTTCACTCAAAAATTCAGAGAATTGCCAGAGCTGAGATCCATTTGGATTAAGTCCTGATTATCACTATAGCAAAGAGAAAATTCTTCATTCTTACATATATAAGTAAATATTTTTTGTTTGTAAATTCCTTTTAAAATTAGGCATATAAAAAAATAACTCATCAAAACTGAAGGATCCAAATTGACTGGGGGAGGGGGGAATTATTCAAAATAAACTAGTCACTGAGAAAGCTCTTTCAAGTACACTACATGTGGGTCATTAGAAAATCATATGCTATTTTAATATATTTCCTCCTTATTTTCCTCTCTGAAAAACATAATTTTTCCAGTAAACTTGGTTAATTAATTTACTTATTTATTAGAGCTGACTCTTCATGGAATATACACTAAAGTGACAAAAGTCATGGGATACCTCCTAATATTTTGTTGGTCCTTCTTTTGTCCGGTGAAGTGCAGCAACTCGACGTGGCATGGACTCAACAAGTCGTTGGAAGTCCCCTGCAGGAATATTGAGCCATGCTGCCTTCTA